AGGCATCTTAATAATTTGCTTTTGAGAAATGTACATTGAGACGCATTCACTTTAACTAGGAATGTCAAAATCACCCAGCGCGCCAGTGTGGATGTCCAATGTTAAGTGAGATTACTGGAATATTTCCACACTCTAAGTTCCAGCCCGGGTTTAGTTGTTCAACAATAATAACGTAAAAAGCCACTTTTACTGTTTTTTTGAACATCATCTATTGTTTTATTTATTATTAACATTTATTATATATTACGTAACATCATTTTTTAAGCGTTTTTGCATATATGCAAGTTGCAAAAACGCGTATTGGGAAGAGGCTGTCCATGTGTGTGCGTCTGTGTGTTCGCACTTTTTGTCACCCACTTCCAACTCGAGAATCAGAAAAGCTAGAAGGCTGAAACTTTGGTAGTGTGTGCCCAGACAATGCGCGATCCTCCCATTTCAGTACCATCCTCCGCGCACGTCTGGTGCCGCGTATGGACGCCTTGAAAGAATATGCAAATTTTTTAGCGAGAAAGGGATCTCGGCAACCAGACAAGGTAAGGGGCTGAAACTTTGCAAAGATAATCCCCGTGCACGCGTAAACTAAAAATTTCAAATTCAGCGCCCAGGCATGCGTGGTACTCAAGTAAAGCCGGCAAATTTTGGCGGGAAAATCACTAACTCGGGGACCAGGAAAGCCAGAAAGCTGAAATTTCGAGGGAATGTTTCCTGTCCAAGCTTAAATATTCCATATTTAGCTCTCAGGTGTACGTGACCCTCAAGTACGAGCACACGAAAGATTTGGCGGGAAAATTGCTCATTGATCAGCTAGACTAATTTCAAAGAAATACCGTTAAATGGAAATTGTTTACTTTCTGCAAAATTTGTGGTGATTTACGCTAGTGAGCGTAAAAGGTGGGTGTAAAGGAACAACATTCACGTAGTTAATGACCTGAGTACTTCAAGTCTGGTGCAAAAATGCATGATCGCACCGGCAACCCTGGTGCGTTTCAACCTGGGTTTGTGATCCAGCTGTTCAGCAAGCAATATCCTCACCAAAAAATTCAGGTGCCGTACACGAGAAACACGCGTACTTGGCGGCTGAGTTTGAAACCTCTAAGTTATATTTGGACGGGGGATATCCTCCTGAAATTTCAATTTTCCAGCTTTTCTGATTTCCGAGTTAGCAATTTTTTCGTTAAAACTTTCATGGGACCGTACGTGACCTGGGGGGATATATGGGGGTTGAGTTTCAAATCTTTAAGCTGTACATAGGCTGGGAACATTCCTTTAAAATTTCGGCCTCCCAGCTTTCCCGGCTCATGAGTTAGCCATTTCTCCACCAAAATATTCACGTGCCCGAACGTGAGTCTTGAACGATTCTAAGTAATTGAATTTAAAATCTTTTGACTGTAGATAAATATTGTAGATGAACTTGGCCAGGAAATACTGTCAAAATTTCAGCATCAAAGCTTGCGGGGTTGGCGAGCAGAAATACCCAGACGGGCGAACACATACAAGCATACACACACACACACACACACACACACACACACAGAAAGGATTATCTCAATATGCGCTTTTGCTGCCTGTTGCAGAGCCCAAGGGAGCAAAAATGCTCAATTTTTCTTTATTTGGAACAACTGTTCCGTTTGCTCGAATTAGCGACGATTACTTGAACAAATGAAGGGGCGATACCTGGATTTGAATTTTTTGTCAATGTGTGATCCCCTCACCGATTGTCCACGGATCTTGATATTCTTGATTCTCCTGTTTATTACAACTTGACATATTCATTTATTGACCTGTTGGATTTTTTTACAGCGGGAAAAACAAGAAAATCAGAGACCTGAAGATTGTTAACAGAGTGGCAATGATATGACATTTCGTTTACAGCATCGAATAAATGTTTGCTAGCAACAGTGATGAGAAAAGATGTAACAAACGATAGCGAATGGTTATAAAAAGTAGTCAGTGACAGTGGAAATATACCATATTCTTCAACAATTGTAAAAAATTGTCTTCAGTTTTGAGAATCATTTACTGGAAAGCTCGATTTCAGAACGTGTTTATTGGAGGAAACAGCCCCTCTACAACTTATTTATTCGTTCCGATGGTAAATTGGTACTGGCCTATGCCAACCAGTCGTACTCATGATCAATTTGCTTCTCAACAACCCACAAAAGAAGGAGCCGTAGATAGTTTTGCCAGCTAGTATTTACTGTTTACATTTGCAACCACTAAGCCATTTCTTGAGTGCTTTCGCCTTTTGTAGAATATCTAGTAAGATTATTTGAAAATTACATACTCTAATGGATCGGATAAGTTTGCAGTTTGTGTTTTCTGTTCACTAGTATTATTCATCAAAAACTTCTGAAGAACTTTTTGAAATATCCAGTAAAATTATTCGAAAATTACAACGAATGCAAAAGGAGTTTTGACTTTTAGATCCGAACAACTTGCACACATGTGAATACAAATATACACATTTAGTTTAAAGAGCCAGAAATTCATATTCCAAGACTGGCAAATAACTCCTAACACGGATGCATACTCATACTGTATTTTGGAAGAAATCAGGATGCGAGGTTCCACGATTTTCAGGATAATTTGAGATTGGCTTTGTTCGGATTTACTGGCAAATTAGATTTGCCTTATTTAATACGCTGGCAGTAAATCTCGATCAAATCAACTAAAAACAAACAACTACACAACAGCACCCATCACTTAGCTAACG